ACCTAATTCTGAAGTCTCTGTCAAAGTGGAAGTATAAAAGTTGAGACTGGCTGAAAACCCAGTCCATCATAGTCGGTCGGGGCGTGAAGACGGTTCTTTGGGCCTGACATGTTGGATCCTTGTAGTTTGGGGGTGAAAATGTATAGATAGACCTACAGTAGATGTGCTAACTCATGAAATGTCAACAAAAATTTCGAAATGCGTTCTCGTTTCGAAAAGATAAATTAAGTAGTGTTGTACAAGTAATCATGAAGCAGCATAAATCTATAATGATCCAGTTACCTCAGGGTGTCGGCTTTCGAACGAACTTATTTTCGGCTGCATGCAAGATCTATACTCTGTAAAAAATGACTAATTACGTAGTATGCAATTTTCTCATTGATTTTCGATGCCCTTGAAAATTCAATTATATTTCATGGAAAACATGCACAAAATATTCATTCTTTTACTTATTCGGTAGAAAATCACGTCTTCTTCCAATTTCATACTCAAAAGAAGAGTATAATTCGGTTTTAAAAAAGTTTCTAATTGTTAGATTTTTTAATACCGTTAAACGGCCGTTCATGAAACGTCATGTATCTGCATTTACGAATGTGGCTTGTAAAGTTAACAATATTGTTCAAATCCACTGCTTAATTTTATGAACCTCATATGATCTCCTCTTAACACCGTAGAGAAATGCATGGTTTTCCGTACACGGAAAATATACGGCTTGTAATTTTGAAACCCTGAATGCAAGTGTAACAGCAGGTCGTGTTCAAAATTATTCGGGAATTAGAAATGTTTTTTTAAAACCGAATTATACTCTTCTTTTGAGTATGAAATTGGAAGAAGACGTGATTTTCTACCGAACAAGTAAAAGAATGAATATTTTTATTCATGTTGTCTATGAAATATAGTTGAATTTTCAAGGGCATCGAAAATCAATGAGAAAATTGCATACTACATAATTAGTCATTTTTTTACAGAGTATAGATCTTGCATGCAGCCGAAAATAAGTTCTTTCGAAAGCCGACGCCGTGAGGTAACTGAATCATTATAGATTTATGCTGCATCATGATTAGTTTTACAATACTACTTAATTCATCTTTTCGAAACGAGAACGCATTTCGAAATTTTTGTTGACATTTCATGAGTTAGCACATCTACTGTAGATCTGTTTCCCCTGATTGTAGCGACATCCTCGGAGGCCTACCTGAATAGACATGATCACCGTTGAAACAACTACAGGAAAGTGAGGACCAATTTGCCGTGTGATGACGCCTAGGAACTTGGCAAGCAATTAAAAATCTGCCAAAACATTTACAGATTAATTGAGCCTAATAGTCATCTAGTGGATTCTAGACTGACTACTTAGAAAGTGCCGATTGGGCAGTCAGCGTACTGTATCAGATTTGCTGGATTCCATACTTTGCAGTACGTTGGGCGAATAACTTGACCCAAATGAGATTAAATTCACGGCTTCCAGTGGGACCGCGTAGTTCAAGTGGCCGGAGCGTTGGCTGTACTCAAGTCTTCCCCTTGCTGTCGTGGGTTCGAATCCCACAGAGGTCGCCCAGTCTTTCGCATTTGAGTAAAAATGAGATTGTTCTTAATTTAGCACAATTTGTCAGCAGGAAGTTCTAATAGTCTAAATAAGGTCCAATTTTAGTGCATTTCTCGCTGTGTAATAGGTAGCCAATCCAGCTGTTCGATGCAACCATTCCTCTAAGCCTCCTACTGGCAAACAACTTGTAACCCAGCAATAAAGTAAGCCCGGAATGTTCGTTCTCTTTTTCTACTTATCGATGGATGAAGAAATAACCCAGAAAAGATAATTGTCTTAGCAAATCAACACTGATTTTAAAATGATCGTTTCAATCCGCTATCTTGGTCGTTGCCCTTCCCTATGCGGCCCATTTAGGTAACATGAAACATTCTACGAATATTTTCCCTCAAAAACAAACGGACGAACTTGTTGCGAGACAACGCCACTCAGGCGATATTTGGATGTCACAACGCTAATGCTCATGCTCCAGTTTATTCAATAGAAACCCTGCCCTTCAGGAAAAAAGTATACGAATTGTAAATTATTTTGTAAGATCTGATAAATTCCAAATAGGTGTAGCACCATCTAGGATCTGGGCTTAGATTTGAAATCCATCAGGTTACAGCTAGGTTTTACAAAATACGACCTACTTACAAGGTTTCAGTACTACTTAAATTATGTGATCCCAACATAATGAAAAGTGGGCCGGAGTCAGCCTCGGTGTGTCCTCTAGTGGTCGACACTGCGTGCCCGTGGGAGACTCCTTGTATTTTACCATCCTATAGAGAAGTATCTATCGGGAGGGAGGGTGAGGAAGTTATTTGCAATGAGGACGAGGTGGTCTGCTAAATTGCCTGTCCCATGCCATTTCCGATTTTTCACCCCCCCATTTACTTTCCAGCGGATTAAAAGCAACGTTTTATTCAGAAATCATCGTAAAGTAAAATGGTGTAAATCAGTAAGACGCCCATATATTACACTCTCCGATCGAAATAGACCTTGCTGGTTAAGTTTCATATGCGATCA